GGGTTTAGGGTTTGTTTCAACCCCATGGACGCGGGGGTGGTTGGGGGCACATATATACGATGCCTTCAGCGCGGCTGCCTCACCCTCGTCCACCTCCAGCATCCGCTGCCTATTTGATCCGCGAGGCCGTAATATTTCCTCCATTTTGCGGGCAGCGGCGCCCCCGGCGGGCGCGGGAGCAGTGAAAGAAGGGTGGTGCAGTGGTTGAACGAATGAATCCTGTGCTCCCGGACGGCTGCTTGGATGGGCGTGCGGGCGTAAGGACGTGTATATTATGGAACGAAAAAACGAGCGCCCGCCACGCCTCAGCAGCCCTCGGCCAGGCCTGGTTGTTGATGGTGCATCCCCCTTAGGCACTTTGCTGCCAGCCGAACAGTGCTGCACCTGTGCAGTGCGAGCCAGCCGGGCCCCAACAGCCCCCGCCCCGCGCCAAACACACGTCCCACATGCACTGCCACACCCTGGCGCTGCCCGCCGCGCGAACGGGGGCCTCCGGGGACTGCAGGGGCGGAGCTAGCTGCAGTGCAGGGGAGGGCGGTACCCTTTGGCCCGGACCCCCGGGTACGGCCCAAGAGGTACCGCGGGAAAGTTGTAAGCCTCCGATTTTGTATGGGGGGTACCGGGGTACGAGGTACTGCTGCGCCCCCCGCCCCAGGCGCTGCAGACCGCCCCGTCTGAGTGCGTGCTGCGGGCTGCGGGGCCGATGCATCGTCATGGTTCTTATTTATATTATCCGCGACCGCTCCAGCTCGGCCGCGGGCGTGGCAGCTCCGCACTCAACAACTTTGCTGCTGCACTTGCACACTTTGCACTGCTGCACTTGCACTGCTGCAGCTGCAGACGTTGCTGCCCTTATGTGTGCTGCCTCTGCTGCAAACCACCTCATGCATCAATCCATCTATTATTTATCATTGCACAGACTCGTCACTGGATTTACACAACGGGTTGAGCAGCAACAACAACACAGGGCAAAACCAAGGGTCTGGGTACGTGTACCCCGGGTACGGGTATCTTCATAGGGTGTCTGGCCTGAACCAGGGCATTGTGATGGTGTTCACGCCCCTGCCCCCTCCCTGCACCACCCTCATGTGGGCTCCACACAGGCACCAAGCATTGCCACACGTGTGGGAGACCTCAAAACGTGTTGAGGGGTTGTAGGCAAGTTGCAACCGTGTGTGCCAGTTGGGCCCATGGGTGGCACCTGCCACCAGCCTGTGGGCAAGCTCACACACTGGCTTGTTGCGGGTGGTGGGTGGTGGGTGCAAGGATGGGGTTTTTTGGAACCCTAGGGTCACCTTGAGGTAGCCCTCTGGCATCACATACATGCCAGGGGTTGCCCTCACAAGCCCAGGGTCATAGGGCATGCACAGGGGAGTGGGCACCATGCCAGGCAAGGCAACGCCCAAGGCATGGTAGCCAAGGAGCTCGTGGGGGTGGTCTTGAAGGCGTTGCTGCAGGGCTGGGTTGTTGAGGGTGCCCAGGTATTGGGCCTTGTTGATGACCAGCACACTGCCAAGCCTGTCAAAGAGCCTCTCTAGCTCCACAGCTGGCCCTGGGTTTGCTGCATCCTTGAAGAACTTTGACCTGCAGCTGTTGGGGCCAAACACCCTAACCACTTGAGCCAAACAACTGTTATTACCATCAGCCATGCCAGCAAACTTCTGGGGGTTCAAACCACTCCCAGGGGGGGCCTGCCACAACTTAATGCCACCCTCTGCAACACTCAAGGCCTCCCAATGAGCCCACATCTCCTCCACAGAGCGCCTTGGGGGGACACTGGGGTGTGTGTGCGGGCAGGTGGGGGTGCCAAGCCCGTGAGTGTGCATACTTTGTCATGGAGGTGGGGGGAGTGCCTCAGGGGTACCGCTTCCCTGTACCCGGGTACCTCGCGTCCGCCCTCCCCGCCCCTGTGTGCCCCCGCTGCCCCGCGCACCTCATGCGTCCGGCTTCTTGAAGGGGTCGTCCGGCTTCTTGAAGACGTCGGGCCGCTCCAGGACCACGCCCGTCTTGGCCATGACCTGCTTCATCAGCTGCTTGCCGATGCGCTTGTTCGACAGGCAGAGCTCGTGGTACATCTGCGCGGGCGTGGGCGAGGTGCAGGATATGTGTAACAATATGGGGTCCGCACGAGCCTGCAGGGGAGCCCGGGTGCCGGACTCCGCTGGGCCGAGGTACCGCCCTCCCGGACGCTGCCTGTAATGGGCTCACCAGCACGAGGAAGTTTGAGAAGTCTGTGGGGCCGCTGGGCCACCCGACGGACGCTGCGTGGCTCCGGCAGAGGTTGTACGTCGGCCAGAGCCACTTGCCGACCGGCAGCTGCAGCTTCTTCTCCTCCGCCATGTCCTTGGGGACGAACGGGACGGACCGCTCCACCCCCACGATCGTCTCTGCGCGATAGCGTTCGCGGACGTTATTTGCGAGCGTACGCATGGAGCACAGCAGCAGGGGCCCGGGCACGAGCGAGCCAACACCCGCAGCTGATGCACAGCAGCAGCAGCAGCAGCAGCAGCAGCAGCAGCAGCAGCAGCAACGCAACAACAACACCCATCGCACACACACACACGCCCCAGCCGCCCCGCTCACGGTTGTTCTTCTTGTAGTCCTCATCCCTCAGGGCCAGGCGGGCCGCCCTCTCCAGCGGGCCTGGCGAAGGGGAGGGCGCACGGTGGATGGGCCGTAAGTGAGCTGCCTTGCTTGCCAGGCCGCGGGCAGTGCAGAGCGCATGCGGGGTCTGGACTCCTGTACCTCGGTACCCGGCCTGCCGGAGGGCGGTACCCCCCACAGCACCGGCCAGGCCCCCGCACCCTGCAGCTCCAGATCGTCCTCCGCCGGGTTCGCCTCGTCCTCCGGCTGCTCCTCCTCCTCCTCCTCCTCCTCCTCCTCCTCGAGCTCGGAGACGTCCAGCTCTTCGACCTCCTCGACTTCGCGGGCCGGCAGAATGACCACCGGCTCCTTCTTCACCACCGCTGCCTTGCCCTTGCCCTTGCCCGTGCCCTTGCCCTGGCCCGCCACACTCTTCTGCTGCTGCTGCGCCTGCTTCTGCGCCTTCTGCTGTGGTGGAGGCGCTGATGGGCCCGCCCCCTTCTGCTGCTGCTGCTTGCCCGCGGGCATTTTCGCGTCCGCGCCCTCCGCTGCGGTCGGTGGGGCGCCCAGGGAATCCCAATGGATGCTACGAGCAAATCTGTTATGCAAAAACAGCAACCCCAGTCAGCCACCCCCAAACCGAGCACCACAAAAGCCCAAGTACCTGGAGCCCTGGGGTCCAGTACCCGGTACCCCAATGTCTCCCACCAAAACAACACACCCCTGTGCACCACCCAACTCCAGCCGCCCGAAACCAAAGATTTCCCAATCCCCCTCACCCTGCTTGCTGATCTTGGCGGGAGGCTCCAGGGGGGGGTGGTCCGGGCCGGGCGGCGCGGGCCGCTTCTCCGCCGCCTTGCCCTTGGACGCGCGCGCCGCCGCTGCCTCGCCTGCAGCCCCAGCCTGGCCCTTGGGCTTGACTAGTTTGGTTGAATGTCATCAGTTGGGAGGGGTGGAAGGAGGGTGTAGGCTTGGGGGACATGGGGAGGGGAGGGGGGGCAAGGCTCAAGCGCGGCAAGCGGCGCGGCAAGCGGCGCACGCGCGCACACCGGAGTCAGTGGCACCCACACACGCAAACAAACACATTCTCAAACACACACACACACAAACACACACATACTTTGCATGCCCCCTCTCTCCATATCACCCTTGCTCAAAAACTCAAACCACACACACCCAATTGCCCCCCTCGGCTCACCGAGGCCGCCCCGCCGGAGCTTCGCCGCCAGCGGTTCGTCGTCGCTGGCGTGGTCGGTGTCCGTCGACTGTTCACCCTGCTGCTCTGCCCCCTCCACACCATCCTCCATCTCCTCATCACCTTGCCCCTCCCTGTCCTCCTCATTCCCCCCCTCCTCCGGCGCTGGCGGCAGCGCCGCCAGCGCCGCCTCAGTCCCGGCCGCCGCCGCCGCCGCCGCCTCCTCAGGGTCTGACTCTTCGACCGCATCCTTCCTGCCACGCTTCCATTCCCTCTTCTGGTCCCTACGACCCATGCTGGCACTGCCCTCCTCCTGCCTGGGGTCAATGCCTTGCTCAACTGTGTCCTGATGGCCCTCCTCGGGCGCCGCAGCCGCTTCGAATATGGTCAGCAACTGCCCTGGCTGCTGGCTGGCCCCCTCCTCCTCCTCTTGCTGCTGCTGCTGCTGCTGCTGCTGCTGCTGCTGCTGCTGCTGCTGCTGCTCCTCAGTAGGAGGCTGGGCTTGCTCAGCCACAACAGGAGGCTGGGCTTCCACTGCCTGCTGCTGCTGCTGCTGCTGCTGCTGCAGCTGCTGCTCCAGCTCAGCCTTCACCCGCTCCTTCTTGGCCGTCAGCTGGGTTATAATATTGTCGTGCCTCTCCGCCTCCTGTGACCCGCGCTCGTGCAGGTCGCGCGCTTCTTTCACCCCTCTGATCTGCCTCTTGAGCTCTGCGGTGCGGGGAAGCAGGGGGAGGGGGGCGCAGTTAGCTGTTGGGCCTCGCGGTTGCAATGTCATGCGTTCGCGGACGCTCGCAAAGGCGTCCGTTTGGCGGGCTGCGCGGTGGCAGATCACCTTTGAACGTGGCCTTCAGAGATGCTGCGTCTGGAGTCTGCGGAGCCATCGCGCGCGCGTGAGGCGGGCCGCGCAATAGTGGGCACAGCCGAAAGGTCGTATCAAATGCAGGCGAGGCATCCCAGGCAGGGAGGGCTGTACCCGGAGGGCTGGGGTCCGCCCTCTCCCCAGGCGGGTACAGGGCTACGTGTCGCGGAGCTCCAGGGATGTGCAAAAGCCTCACCTCTGCACGCTCCGCCATGCGGGCTCGCCCCTCCTCGTCAGAGATCGCTGCTGTCAGCCCGCTGCGCGCGAACACGATGTGTGGATGGCGCCAAAGTACGGTTGTTCGAACCCACAATCTCATAGGCCTGCCAGTGCCAACGCCAGATTTGCGACTGGCAAGAATGTGGGGGCTAAAGAATGTGGGGGGTCTGAGCTGCAGGCAGCTGCCTGGTGCAGTGGGGGGTACCGGGGTCTGAGGGTCCGGACCCCGAGGTACCGCTGCTCTCCCCTGCAGCCCCAGGCGCCAGCCCTGGGCCTGGCAGGGCCCCAGGGGTACCTCGGGGTCTGGGGTCCCGAGGGTCT